AATAACCTTCTTCAGGACAATATTCATTAAAAATACAATTAACATAATCAGTATAACACGACGAAAACGATGGACATAAAAACAAGTCTTATCCAAAACAGATAAATGAAAATTTTAAATGATCAGCTTTCCGTTTGAGCGTGGTCACGTTGTCGTCAAATGGGCGACGCTTTCACAACGTATTCTTAAAATTTTTTATAAATTTGATTCCGATGGAAAGATTTTTCATATATACAGTTCGTTAGAAAATCTTTTCTGTTCTTGTAGGAATACGCGGAGACTAGTAGATTCCTGTATCTTCGGATAAGCATGCAGTCCTCCATGTAATAAAATGAATTCAGGTTTGTATTTCCAGTGGACAGTATGAGAAGCAAATATAAATGGATATAAATCCGACAGAATGAAGAAAATATCTGGAAAAATATTGTCCTGAAGAAGGTTATTAAACCGAAACGTCAGACGTCGACATTTCATTCATATTAAAACAACATAATCGCATTTTAAGGATTTTTGTTTTGTTTTTCCAGATATTTTCTTCATTCTGTCGGATTTATATCCATTTATATTTTCTTATCATATATATATATATATATATATATATATATATATATATATATATATATATATATATATATATAAGATCAGATCAGATCGTACATATACCTATATTTATCCATTTGGTTATATATATATATATATATATATATATATATATATAAACTAATAGTTGACAAAATGTATATAATCTGATGTTAGGTGTTTTGTCCTTCAAAAGGAATTCTTCAAATTTGTTATACTGTTTGGTTTATGTAGACTTTATCTACTAATATTTATTTAATGCTAATGGTTGTATTTTGTTGTCATGTTGTTTTGTGATGTGATGATTAATATACGCACGATATGCATTAAGTTTCAGTAAGTGAGAATTAATCTATGAGAGGGTGTAGTGCTTTTGTTAGCAATATGAGACTTTAGCGTTGTTTTTTGATAATGGTTACTGGAGATGCATTCTACGTCAATTCATAAACAACTGTCGTCCATTTTTATTTATTAAATCGTGTATGTTACGTCTATCAGCCTTCACATTCAAGACAACATTATAAAGAAAATATCTTATCCGGACTTCTCGAATGCGCAGGCAGATAGACATAATACACACTGTTTCGGAAATATTTCAAATACATAGTGTCCACTATAATATCGTTTGAATAAATACACACACGTATACTCACGTTTATATATATATATATATATATATATATATATATATATATATATATTGAAACATTTTATGCTTATAAATTCTTGTCCGTGTCCTGCGTATGACGATAAACTACATCCGCGTCCTGGGTATGACAACAAACTACATCCGTGTCCTGTGTATGAAGATAAAGTACATTCGCGTCCTGGGTATGACAACAAACTACATCCGTGTCCTGTGTATGACGATAAACTACATTTGCGTCCTGGGTATGACAACAAACTACGTCCGTGTCCTGTGTATGACGATAAACTACATTTGCGTCCTGGGTATGAAGATAAACTACATTTTCGTCCTGGGTATGACGATAGACTACGTCCGCGTCCTGGGTAAGACGATAAACTGCATTCACGTCCTGGGCAAGACGATAAACTACATAAACAGCCGAATGTTGTGTTGTGTTGATTGCATTCACTTACGCACAAATACCCTTAGGAAAGTAACAATTCATTTCTTCTCCTCCCAGCTATGAGTCCAATCGCAAGACTTGTATCTGGAAAAATCATTATCTCCCCCAAAACTGTTAATGCAATATCCATTCTCATAAAAAAGGAATGGACAATATGTTTCGGCTTTAAACTATCAACAAGCAACTATCGATCTAATATTCATCGAAGCAGTAAAAAGCGGAACAACTAAATCAATCAGAATATTGCTTTTTGGACGAACGAGCCTCAGAGGCAGAGTGAGATATCTTCATCCATAGGACAACTTTATATGTACCTACAGTACACAAACATACAAAGAAGAAAATAATTCACTACGACGTAAATGTCTCGAGAACGCCTTAATCGCAACGTCATCTACAATAAAGTTGCGTCTTGACTCTTACATTTCATCATTCCTCGCTGATCTAATATCATTCAAGAACACATGGCCAGTGGATAAAGACGTTGGTTAGATCCAGTGACTAGACCCAAAGAGTTGTGAGTTCAATACTAGGCCACAGCAGTGGTGAACCAACATTTGGAGAGTTGACTTAAAGGGAAATAACTGAGACATCTGTAAGAGGCATGTCGCGTGGAGCTAGAATAATCTACTTCGGTTGACGAAATAAAGGGTTCGGTTCGAAATTCCAATCACCTGAAGAAGGCCGAAACGTTGTGAATATGGCAACTAAAATGAAGATAACGGTCCGAATAATGTAAATAATATCATTGTGGAATAACTACTTAAAAAAGTGATGGAAAAAAATATATATTTAGTCCAACTAAAATAACAAATTTAGTACGATATAGTTTTGAAGAAAGAAACGCATCACAAGTAAACTTTTCTACTTTGTCATACAATTTCCCCAATACTGTACTTGTTACATGAAAATATACATCGTTATTTCAAATATATATTTATAAATATAAATATATATATATATATATATATATATATATATATATATATATATATATATATATATATAATTTCTATCAAGCATTGAAATATATCTTTTACATAATTTTGTTAAAACAAAATTACGGCCTCTTTCGATTCACTTCCTCTCCCCCTCTCTTTGCCGTAACACTCATTTAGATATATCTGTATTACTGTCGTCTGTCTCCTCTCTCCTTTCCATTTTCCTTTTCTTTTCCCCCACTACCCTCCCATTCCTATATATCATTTCCGTTAAGTTAACCATCGAAATAGTTCATGGTTCGGTCACTCCTCCTACCCCAATATAAAACATGCTTAAGAGAAATATGAAATTAACCCCTCCCTATACTCTACCTTGTCTCGTTAACTACAACTATCACCCTCCCTGTTAAATTAGAAAAATTGCACTACCCATCAATTTCTAATCCCATTTTTCCTTTCATTTCGTTGTTGGAAGTGTTACCTGATGATCCGGATTCCTTTAAAAAGGATTTTGGTGAAATAAATTATTGTAATGGTACCTTAAAGTGGTCTGTTTTTCATTAAATATATATATATATATATATATATATATATATATATATATATATATATCCGTTGATAATTAGTAGAGCCGTCCTGGGTAAGACGGTAAACTATATCCGCGTCCTGGGTAAGACGATAAACTACATCCGCTTCCTGGGTAAGACGATAAACTACATCCGCGTCCAGGGTATGACGATAAACTGCGTCCAACAGCAAGGCCTCTGTCAGGAGGTCTTGAGGAGCGTGGAACCACTTCTTAATTGCTGGCGTTCCCAGGTTCAACCTGACCCGGGGTGGTAGCACATGGTAGGGTCCTAGCTATGGGCACATAGTTGACACTCAAACTTGTGTAAAAATAGGTTTTAATACCAGAAATAGCTTGTAATGAAAAAAATATTACCAGCAATAGTTTTTGAAGGAAAAATTATTAGCAGCAAAATTTTTTTACTATTGTACTAGCAATACAAATAGCTATAAATTCTTTAAAAAACAGTTATCAGCTATAGATTTCTTCAAGGAAAAATATTCCTAGCAATAGATTTTTGAAGAAAAACATTACCAGCAATAAAAATTTTGTCGGTATTAAATAACCCGTTGAAGTTGATACGCCGTAAATCAAACCAAACCAAACCAAAATAATTATTAGAGATAATTCCAAGGAGGACATTAATCCAAACAGAGCTCAATGTAACAGAGCAATCTAATAATAAGGACACACTATCCTTAATAATCCGTTTGTTTATAATTTATTTCGTGAATATATACAAATATTCATCTCTTCAGACTGAAGTTTTTTTTTTTAATAAAATGGCGTCAATTTTTCCAGACCAAAGGAAGAAGGAGGGAAATAAAAAAAAAAGAAAAAAAAGGAAAAACATTTACATTTCAGCATCTCTGGCAGATTTTCTAGTATTACAGTATGGAATACAAAAGTGGCGGAAAGTAAAAGAAAATGTCTCTAAATGAAGTCGGCTAGATAAAATATAAAAATAAGAAAAATTCTAAATTTTCCAGCACCCCACTATCATGCGCATGCGTAGTCCCACTAACATAACAAATTTAGTCCGATGAATTTTTTAAGGACGAAACGCGTCACAAGTAAACTTTTCCACTTTTCTATAAAATTTCCTCAATACTGTTCTTGATATATAAAAATATATATCGTTATTTCATATGCATAAATATATCTATCTGTATATATATATATGTGTGTGTGTGTGTGTGTGTGTCCATCTCCAATCGTGCAAATGAACGATGACGCATTTGTTTAAATAAATCCTTAAATAAATCCTTGCCTTCGTATGAAGAAATTCATAGACCATAACTCAACGGCGCTAATTGACTTCTCTCCCTATCGTCTGTCATTTTGATTTGCATTTATATATGCCAGCTGACTTGATAAATAAAAAAAAAACGAAGAAACAGATAATCCTATTCTCCCGTATTCAATATCCAGGAAAGAGCAATAACAAATTATATGTCCATTGACAGTCATGCAAGCCATACACATAAATATAAAAGATTCAAGTTGATATAGAAATTGAAAAAAAAAAAGATCACTAAACCTGATAGCTTTATTGTCACGGCAATATATGAGAATCAAATACAGATATACAGAGATAAAAAAAGGAAATTATTTCTTTGTATATTACCTGGCAATGGCTGTTTAATATTGGTGATACAATATGATATGTAATAATAGCCATCTGGGTATTGTAGCATTGTTGATTTTTGTTGTTTGTTTCGAATGGCTTGGGGTTTCGATGTCCGGCTGTGGCAATAAGTCTAGTTTAGCAAACAGGGCTGTAATGACTTTTAAACGGATTTAAACACTCCTTTCGAAGGACTAAAGTGACATCATTTCAGTAATCAAAAAGATGAGTATAACGCTGAAATAGATAGATAGATAGATAGATAGATAGATAGATAGATAGATAGATAGATATGAACAAATTGAGGTAGATATGAACGGATTGAGATAGATAGATAGATAGATAGATAGATAGATAGATAGATAGATAGATAGATAGATAGATAGATAGATATGAACAGATTGAGGTAGATAAATAGATATGAACAGATTGAAATAGATAGATAGATAGATAGATAGATAGATAGATAGATAGATAGATAGATAATGAGCAGATTGAGATAGATAGATAGATAGATAGATAGATAGATAGATAGATAGATAGATAATGAACAGACTGGAATAGATAGATAGATAGATAGATAGATAGATAGATATGAACAGATTAGGGTAGATAGATATGAACAGATTGAGGTAGATATGAACGGATTGAGATAGATAGATAGATAGATAGATAGATAGATAGATAGATAGATAGATAGATACTGAACAGACTGGAATAAATCGATAGATAGATAGATAGATAGATAGATAGATAGATAGATAGATAATGAAGAGTGTGAGATAGATAGATAGATAGATAGATAGATAGATAGATAGATAGATAGATAGATATGAACAGATTGAGGTAGATAGATAAATAGATATGAACAGATTGAAATAGATAGATAGATAGATAGATAATGAGCAGATTGAGACAGATCGATCGATAGATAGATAAGTAGATAGATAGATATGAACAAATAGAGGTAGATAGATATGAACGGATTGAGATAGATAGATAGATAGATAGATAGATAGATAGATAGATAGATAATGAAGATAGATAGATGGATAGATAGATAGATAGATAGATAGATATGAACAGATTAGATAGATATGAACAGATTGAGGTAGATAGATATGAACGGATTGAGATAGATAGATAGATAGATAGATAGATAGATAGATAGATAGATAGATAGATATGAACTGACTGGAAATAATTGATAGATTCAGCTGTCTATTAGTTTACATTATCCGTATAATTAAACTAATTTCAGCGTGAGTCTCTTAAAATCATTTTTCTCCAATGTTCCTATTGTTCTCGTATTTGTCGCATTTTTATTCACTTTATCTTTCAAAATCAATATAATTGTTTTTGTTTTGTTTTTTTTTTGTTTTTTTGCCGATGACGTACCACGTGACATTAACATTTATAACAGTTTTAAATGATTGTATATATTTACCAAATCTCATTAAAAAAAAATGTAAGGTTAATCGGTCCGATTTAAATCCTTGTAATTTTTAAGCAGTTATTTTATTTTATTTTTTGATTCGACATTATTACTTATTAATATGATTGTTACCAGAAAAACCGTGAAATCAGATGAATCTTAATTCTTAATCTAAGGATTGAATAAACTACTTGCAATTCCACACCTATGAATACCTACTCTTGCTTCGTTAATTATTTTAACAACTTTAACAAAATATTACAATAAAAATGATGCAGATTGAATGCAGGTCATTATTTAAAGAATTAAGAAGGTACAAATGAAAAGATTAAACATCAACAAGATTTTCCATTTCACTAAAGCAGACATTAGACATATGAGAGCATTATCATCTATTTTTTTCTTTTCCGTTCCTTTTTCTAAAACCAAATGATATAGCTTTCCTTCCGTAAATCCTCGAAGGCAAACTTGAGTGGTCTATTGTTTATTTCAGGTAACGGCAGGTCATAACGTACATACTAACTTACAAAGGAAAAAGCAAAATGCCATCATATTTAGTAAGTCTACGTGTTAGAGTAGACATTTTAAAACAAATTAATATCTGCCGACCCAGAGATCGAAAGATCTAATAAAGAAAATGTGACTTCCGAGAGGAATTGCACCTCGGTTTTCTTTTTAATCTAGGAAACCGTTTTCAAGCCGAGCAACCTTTTTCATTAAGCCACAGAAAGGTATGACAGCAAACCCGATTCAGTTACGTTACTAACGAAATACTCGTCTCTTATTGGAATCTTTCGAAGACTATATCTGCCAAATTTATTTCAAAGTAATTATTGGATTTATTTAATTGGATTTATTGAATCGACAACGATCTGTAGACATTAATTCCATTGTTTAAAACACGTGTGCCTACTAAATATAAAATGTATTTTTATGTGTAGGTTTGTTTGCATGTTTATTGTTGGCAGTTCTAAGAATTGTTTTGGTAGTTCTAAGAATTTTTTTGGTAGTTATGAGAATTTTTTTCAGTTCTAAGAATTTTTTTTCCTTTTGGCAGTTCTAAGAAAGGCTTCCAAACTTCTGGTGTTTGATCATTTGCTTAGGTTTCGGAAAGTTGATCGGCCTGAGAACCATTTCAGCATCCCCCACGTCAGTCTTCGAATATATGGTGATTTTCCAAGCGTTGTTCAGATGTGGCACAAGGCCGAAAATATGGGGCACCCAGTGAGAATCGAACTCACTGTTCAGTCGTAATTGTTCTAGCGAGACAAGCTTGCTAACCATTACACCACCTTGAAATGTCCCAGTCTTCGAATATATACGTAGGTGCTTGTCACAGACATCAGCGTCACCACATTACCCACCGCCCACTTTTACTGGCATCAAATTTCCTTCTCTGTAAACGTTAAGCATTTTAGTTGATGATAGGTCAGTTTCACCACATGGAACACAACCCTCCCAGGGTGGTTTGGTTACAGAGTTTCCTTTTCCTAGACTGGTTGCCACTCAAGGCTATAGGACACAGTATTTTACCCACTGCGGAAGTGAGAAGAGATGGATTCATACTTTTCTCGGGTAGTATAACGGGAATGATACACCTTAGCTCGCTACTTAATTTCAGTGCCAGATTCTATTTTGCCGGACTCTATTTTGCCAGATTTCTATTTTGCCAGACTCTGTTTTGCTAGACTTCTATTCTGCCAGACTTCTATTTTGCCAGACTCTATTTTGATAGACTTCTATTTTGCCAGACTTTATTTTGCCAGATTTCTATTTTGCCAGACTCTATTTTGCCAGATTTCTATTTTGCCAGACTTCTATTTTGCCAGACTTCTATCCAAAGCCATTCCAAAATTATAATTCCGTTTGACCATTGATCCGATTTTGGGAAGTGACACAGTCTGAAAAGCTTTCACTAGCCTCACGTATGTGTGAATATGTGCGTGCGTGCATCAGTGGATATATGTATGTGCATCTATTTGATTGCATGTGTATGTTTGCTAGTTTAGGATGTTAGAGAAATGCTAGTCACGAGGAAAACGGCAGAGATACAAGAGATGGGACTCTGTTAAATTGAACTTTCATGTCAGACTCCAAGCAGGCTTTACGATTAAGCAAGGGGAGACCACTACCGCAAAGCAAGCCTCAATAACTCTTCATTAGAAAGACACATCTCTCATTGGGACATTTCGAAGTCTACACCTGCTAACTTAATTTCCGTACCCGAAACGTACAAAAAGGTCATTTTTAAGCAATTAATAATTTTTATTAAAATGATGTAATTTCTTATTCTAATAAACGTTCTACTTAGAGGCTACGTGTGTTTGCGTGTAAACGTCGATTATTTAGACCGGTAGACATTAATTTCACTGTTTAGGAAGCAGGGATCTTTACTCAAAGTCATGTTTGTTCGTTTGTTCAGATTTGGAGGTACTGGTTCGGTCTGAGAACTTTTCAGCATCTGCCGAACCAATGTATATGTGTGCACGTGCTATCACGTGTCGTGTAACGGACGTCGGATATCGGCGCGGGAAGTTGAATCGGCGACAGGAGTTCAAAACCTGGGCAAGCATTTTTGTGGTCACTTTAGAAAAAGGCATGAAACCGCCTCTTCTAGCACCTCTATGGACTAAAGAGAAGTGTAGATTGGGTACACTAGAATTGGGTGGCAACCAGTCTAAGAGTAAAAAAAAAAGGTAGGGGATTCTTTTTGTTTTAGTTATTTCACCCCAAGCAAGGCGGGAATGTCACGAGTGCGCAGGCGGATACAGGGACTGAAAGTGAATGACAAGATTAAGAATCGGGAGAACTGAAGAAAGAACAAAAGATGAACGGCATTCAAGAAGACAGAAGATGGCGATTGACATTGCATTTACATTTTTGAAGATTGTAGTTATAAGGGAAGAATGTATTTCGCTTGGAAGCAACTAAACGGAAGGGAAAAGTGGAAAATGCAAGAAAAGAAACTGTTGGAGTAGAAGTGGCGGTTGCATTTAGCTATTTCAACAGTAAAATTTGGAAACTAGATACTAATCTAGTAGTACGCTTAAATTCGTGTAGTCGGAGCACCAAGTAAAAAAGCTCATCGTAGCAGTCGCCATGAAAATAAATAAAAAAAAATCAGAGGGAAAACGTGACCCAACTTTCTTTCCAAAGAACGCATGACAGTCTTCAGATAATAACGGAAGATAATCAATGCATAGTCTTAATCGCCTACTTTCTGAATGGACTTCAACTTAAAAACAATCGTCTTGCGTATAAAAATAAAGTATATCCGGCAATAAGGCCTCTGATCGGAAAAGCAACTATTTTACCGATCAGAGGAATGTTAATTAATAGATATTAACATCAGATGTTACCATCAATTATCATCATGTAAAAAGTCTACAAAATACCTCATCTCAGAAATATAGACAGATACTGAAGGGCCGAAACGTTGTAATAAATATGGCAACAAAGATGATGACAATAGTCCGAATAATGTAAATAGTGTACATAATACCTTATCTCAGAAATGTAGACATACTGAAAGGCCGAAACGTTGTAATAAATATGACAACAAAGATGAGGACAATAGTCCGAATAATGTGAATAGTGAATACAATTTTTATAGTAAAATTTCAATGCAGCATTAACAAAATATAAAAATATTTTTTATTGTAAAATTGCCAACAATACATTTTATTATCTACAAAATGCATATCGAAAAAAAATACTTTTATTCTGAAAGTTGAAAGCATAAAATTACGTACAAAATATTTAGATTTCAGCATTGAATAACCGTTAGAAATTTATGAGCCACCAAACAAAAAAAAAACAAGCAACACGAAAAAAACTCTTTCATAGGTAACATACTAAAATTTCTTAAAAACCTAAGTGTATTCCAACTTCAACAAAACTACAACATAAAACACACATATCACCGCCTCTAGTCGACACAAACTTGTATATGCACAAAAGCTGAGTATCAGTAGAATACAGCAGAATAACCTATATCATATTTTATCACCTCAAAGCTCCCAAGTAAAAATAAATTGCAGTATTAAAGGACCAAAAGGCGTTGATATGTCGTTAAACAAATAAAACATGAAAACTTAAACACAAAAGGAAAAGAAGCTTTTACACACACCAGTATCTCCAATGCTGAAACGCATTAGCCACCTAACTGTTCATATCCACTGCTAAAGTTCAATAAATATTACTAATAATATCAGTTTCTCCGTATAAATTAATTCTAAAACATAACATTATTCCGTACGTTCTTTCATGTCAGACTACATAGGGTCAGATTGTTATCCGAAACACTTCCAAAATATCCGAAGCCTTCCAAAATATTTGAATCCATTCCAAAATATCTGAATCCATTCCAAAATATCTGAATCTCTTCTAAAATATCCGAAGCCCTTCTAAAATATCCGAAGCCCTTCTAAAATATCCGAAGCCGTTCTAAAATAGCCGAAGACCTTCCAAAATATCCGAAGCCCTTCCAAAATATTTTAATCCATTCCAAAATATCCGAAGACCTTCCAAAATATCTGAATTCCTTCTAAAATATCCGAATCCCTTCCAAAATATCCGAAGCCCTTCCAAAATATCTGAATTCCTTCTAAAATATCCGAATCCCTTCCAAAATATCCGAAGCCCTTCCAAAATATCTGAATCCCTTCCAAAATATCCGAAGCCCTTCCAAAATATCCGAAGCCCTTCTAAAATATCCGAAGCCCTTCCAAAATATCCGAATCCATTCCAACATATCTGAATCCCTTCTAAAATATCTGAAGCCCTTCCAGAATATCCCAAGCCTTTCAAAATATCTGAATCCCTTCCAAAATATCTGAATCCCTTCCAAAATATCCGAATCCCTTCTAAAATATCCGAATCCCTTCTAAAATATCCGAAGCCTTTCAAAATATCTGAATCCCTTCCAAAATATCCGAAGCCCTTCCAAAATATCCGAATCCCTTCTAAAATATCCGAATCCCTTCTAAAATATCCGAATCCATTCCAACATATCTGAATCTCTTCTAAAATATCTGAAGCCCTTCCAGAATATCCCAAGCCTTTGAAAATATCTGAATCCCTTCCAAAATATCTGAATCCCTTCCAAAATATCCGAATCCTTTCTAAAATATCTGAATCCCTTCTAAAATATCCGAAGCCCTTCCAAAATATCCGAATCCCTTCCAAAATATCTGAATCCCTTCTAAAATATCCGAAGCCTTTCAAAATATCTGAATCCCTTCCAAAATATCTGAAGCCCTTCCAAAATATCCGAATCCCTTCCAAAATATCTGAAGCCCTTCCAAAATATCCGAAGCACTTCCAAAATAAAATACTGATGTCTGATCATTTAGCCGGATGTGAATTAAGTCAGAACTTTTCAGCCCAGCGCGCTCTATATGTGTAAATATGTTTATGTGGATGCGTGTATACCTGTGTGTGTGTCTGTGTGTGTGTTTTCCAGTATAAGAGACTACAAAATTACTAGGCATGAAGAAATTGGTAGAGGGATAAGAGATGCCAAGACAGATTGTTGAAGTTTAAGTCAATGATTCAGAAACATGCAACCAGTATTTTTTTTTTTACGAATTGATTTTCCTTTTGATTAAAGCAGAAAAAAGAGTAAAACTATTATGAACAAAGCCAAGTTATTTCAGTTACTCATATTTCATGGAAATATATTATGAGAAAAGGCCCCGAAAGCAATCCGTGAAATTCATTTCCCCAGTCTTCGAACAAAAAGAGAACATAACAGAACAGTTTACAAGAAGATATTCTTTCGCCACATAGTCGCTACCATTGATTATAGGAAGAACAGCGTGTATTGAAGAATCGGAGTTAGTTCGAATTCTAGTCGAGTTCATTACATTCAACGACGTTCTTGGGAAAAGTAAATTCATACCCTATATGTTAATCTTATCTACTACTATCATTTATGTGCAAAATACTGGGTCCTATAAGCTTAGGTGGCAACCAATCTAAAAGAAGGAAAGTCTGAATTCAAACTTCGTCAGGTTAACTTGTTCAGAAAACGCTCGTATCGCACTATCCTAAAGTGTATATATATGCAATTGGGAACCGCTTCTTCTGTGTCGTTTCTCTTCCGGACGTAGGCGATCATGGCCCTCCACCCCCTTCTGTCTCTTATAGTTCTTAATAAGTTTTGTGATTTTGTTATTTCTCTCAGACCCCGCTCTGCCACCCACTTGTTGAAGCCCCTTACGTATGCCACGCGTTGCTTTCCCCTGTACCTTCCCTCTGTCCGACCTGTGAGTATCAGATTTTCCAAGCCCTTCTTTCTCATTACGTCTCAAAAATTCCAGCTGCCTCTTCTTCTTAAGTA